TTATTACATTCTGTAATACTCACAGTTACATTATGTAACATTATTACATTCTGTAATACTCACAGTTACATTATGTAACATTATTACATTCTGTAATACTCACAGTTACATTATGTATTCTATAATACTCATAGTTACATTATGTATTCTATAATACTCACAGTTACATTATGTATTCTATAATACTCATAGTTACATTATGTATTCTATAATACTCACAGTTACATTATGTAGATACAAAAGTTTTTTTGGCTTAAGGTTAGGGTAAGGAGTTAAGATTAGGTTATAGAAATTAATGGAAATCAATGGCAGTCCACACAAAGATAGTAAAACCCTATGTGTGTGTGTGTGTGTGTGTGATGCATTCAGGGGTACGTGTACAGCTCAGCATCTCGTCTGTTTGGCCTTGAAGTGAACGAGGACTTCGTCAGGCTCCAGAATGACATTGTGCACAAATATAAATTGTGTGACAGAGTTCAGGTTTGTGTCAGACCTTCTTTATCAACACAACCTTTTCTTCCACTCTTTTATTTCAAGCTGTGTACCCTGTGCAGGTTGTCCACGCTGATGTGTGCACACAASAGGTTCTGCTGCAGAGCACTGATGTTCTGATCATGAACAACGTCTTTGAATATTTTCTGGAGTCTAGCAAACAAGTCAGGTAACGAAGATACTGAAACATTCCCAGAATTCATTGCTGCAGAGCCCTAAGAGATGTGTGTGCTTGTGTGTAGTGCGTGGAGGTTCATCATGCAGACCTTCAGGAAGACAGGATCTCTGCTGGTTACTGTTCCCAGTCTGCAGGAGAGTCTGAATGCTCTGCAGGTAAACCATCTGAAAACTACCAGCAGCTGTTTCACAGCTAAACAATCGGACGAAAATCAGCTGCAGCAGAAAGAAACTAACATTTCTTCATGTGGCCATCAGGTGGCGCTGGAGCCTGGCTGGGTGGAGGAGCTCCCTGTGGACTATAATGTTTATCTGGGCAGAGATACAGACCCTGAAGCCCTCAGACAGATCCACCTCTACAGAGTTCTGTGACAGCAGAAACTACACATAGAGACGGGGGGCTTAAATCCCACCTGTCCTGTTCCCCACCATCACACTGACAGCTAAACAACAGGAAGTTATGAATTCTTTATTCCATTTCACCACTCATCAWGTTCTGTTTCTGTAAATGATTCATAAACTAAATGTTCATCTAATAAATATTCCCCAGCT